ACTAAAACATGCCTCAGCACCTCATTGATAAGCCACAGTTAGCCTTGAAGACTGCACAGATCTTTTTGTGAATGCCAATAGGATTTGAGCCAATATAAATACTGCAGTTAAAATATACTAAGTAAAATATAAAGCAGATAAAGGCATAATCAAAAGTTTTAAAAAAATCGAGTGAATAGACCCCTTTGACAGCAACCATGCTGTCAATTATGAAGAGCTTGTTTGTACAGCGACAGTTTTGCATACACAGCTGGAAATAACACAGGGGCTTTGTACAGTTTACAATTTCTCCTCTTTTGATCAGCATCCCACTTCCTGGTGCTATTTTTCTATATGAATGTCAGTACCTCAGTATACAGGTATTAATTTGTTCCTGATGAGAAGAGGATGATTCACAGTTTTCAGCAGATTGAATTGATTAAGAATTTTGAACCTTCAGATGTTGATAATTCTTAAATGCGATTTGTCATCTGATATATGTAAAGCTTCTGCCTGATTGGCTATGTATGCAACTTGGGCTTCATTTGTTTTCCTAGCCTTGTTAGAAGTAGTGTATTAAGTACTGTATGCAGATGCCACAATCCAGTTGGGGCCCATCCATGTGAGCTTCCTTCCCTGATCTAGCATCAAGCTCATTGCTTGTCTTGCCCACAGAACAGCATGATAATGCCAATCAGCTGTTAGAGCTGGGCTTGGCAACCTTCCACTCTCCAGATATTAGATATAATGTTGTTTGGCGCTTTCAGTTTAATACTTCAGCATCTGCCTTAGAAATAAATATGCTCTCGAAGGAGGATGGGTTCTCCAGAAGTTGCTGGACTACGACTACCATAATCCCTTACTGTGCTGGCTAGAGTTGATGAGAATTGCAATACAGTAACATCTGGAGGTGTGCAAATTGCTAATTTCTTTGCCAAGGACATTAGCAACTAGATTTAGCCACAACACAAAACCAACAAACAGGTCATTTGCACAACTGGGAAATGTTCTTAGTAGGTACTATACTCACACATAGTTCGACAGAGGTTGGAGTGTAAATTTAAGTTATTTCTTATTATTGATATTTTATGGCACACTGAACACAGGTGTAAGGAGCCTTAGGCCTTACAAGTCCTTTATCACTGGCCATGTTGAATGAGACTAATCAGAGTTTTAGGCTTAGATATCCAGAGAGCCAAAGCTTCCTCATGTCTGCCTTGCAGACTTGCCCTATTTCCAACAAAAATATGAAGCCTGCTAAATTTTAAGGGTAAAATTGTACAGAGTGAAGGTCACTTGACACTGGAGTGCAAATGAAAAATGATGTTCTGATCTGTACAATTTCTGTAGTTATCCTTTAAGAATGTTCACAGTGCAACTGCTTTCTGTGTGTCTTACACCATTGGCAGCCAATTCTGTCGCTATGCATCTTCATATTCAGATGGCTTTTTTCCCTTCATGTAGAAAAATCTTGGTACTGGAAAATATGTCAAAATCTTAGCAGAGAAATATATGTTCTGTTCTAAATTTAAAATAGTGGTGACATTCTAGAAAAAGAAAGCTTGATTGGAAACTGATTAGAATTCTAACCACTATATTAACATGAACAGGAAAGACCAATTGAAAAAGAAACCTGAAATGTATTTAAAAAAAGATTATCCAAAGCTGTCACTCTCTTGTTTTGATTTATGAAAGTAATTAACTCACCAACAAGTGACTTCAACATGAAGTTTTTATAGCAAATCAGAGATGAAAGCTTGGTACACCTGTCTGCATTCTCAAATTCAATTGCAAAATTAATAACCTTGATTGAGATAATACTAACTGTAATTGTTCAATCTGAAATTTTGTGGATGTAATATCAAGATGAGCATCTTGCAAAGGAAAATAATTTTTCTCCTGTTCTTTCAAAATCAGACTTAATCATCATTCCTATTCACATTTGTATGTAAGCAAGGTTTGCATGCATTCTACTGAAGGTTTCCCATTGAAGAGCTTTAGCGTGAGTGAAAACTCTACTTGTGCCACAAATGGAGTTGATCTGAGACATTTTTTCCTAATTGCAGTGAAGACCTGATGCTGTGCCCTCCCCATTTCATGCACAGAATCTGTATGGACTGGCAGTTGAGTCTTACTTAAATACTGTCATGCAAATAGGGTCTTTCCCTACATTTGAAGCAAAGGTCAAAACTTCATGGTCAAGATCATGGGACATTGGCTGAAATTTAGTAGCAAGCCACACTAGAGTAGGCCCATTGAATCAGTGGGGATTTGGTGAGTCAGCTTCTTTGTAAAAGTGATTGATTCAGTGGGTCTGCTGTAGGTACCACTGGATTTCAGCAACTGGGTCTTATTTGGATCTACACTCTCCCTTCACTATCACTCCCAACAGCAATCGGAAATGTGTGAGAAAATACTGTCTATGTCATTTCCATCAAGAAACAGGAGAAGTAACTTTTCTTGGACTACAAGATGCGAGCTGTCATGGTCTCTATGAAATTCTGGGAGATAGAATTTTTCCAATCTCTGTTCTTCTACCAATTGTCTGAGTAATTTCCTTTGGTAAATCTGCTTCCTCTTGTTTTCATAATCTCTAACCCCCACCCACTCTTCTTGTGGTTAACCCCCTGTCAGAAGTTGTGCAAGAAATATGTTTCCCTTGGTCTTATTCAGACTAATGACTTTGGGAGCATATCAGTGTTAATGTGTATGTCCTTGCTCTGGTTATTCTGGGTTTTGTAATCCCCTTGCAAACTCTTTAATACATCATAGGAGAGCAAACACATTTTCCTTCTTTCGAACCATTGTCTCTGTGATCATGTGTGTTTGTGTTTTAGCAATGCACACCATGGACTTCCCTTTGCTAGGGATACGGCAAACATGGTAGATATGCCTACTAATCAGAACACACATATTATCTCACATGAACACAAAAAGAGCCTTGTTGTATCAGACCAAGGGCCTAGACAGTACAGTATTCTGTTATCTGGGTCAAGTTCTTAGGTGGAGCCCATAAGCAGCAAAGAGGCTCCAGAGCACCCTTCCATTCATGTTCCTTGACATTTCTTCCTCTGACCCCATAGCATGTGACTGGCATCATTAGTTTGGCCTAATTACTAGGGATGTAGTGTTGAAGGTGTATCTGCCCTACCTCTGGTTATGTGTCCTCCCTGTTTTTTCCTGAGGTGAATCAACATTGCTTCCCCTTTTGGCAAGCACTGGCATAGTGATCAGTTGGAAAGTGCAGGCACTCATCTTTCTTTAAACAGATGTGTCATGATCAATCTGGAAGAGCAAATGCTCATCACCATGAGCCACACATAACACATAGAGTCCAAAAATGCATACAATTAGCATATGAATAAATGAGGATGAGATATTTTAGACAGCTAATTTCTCCAAACTGCCTATGCAAACCCTAACCATGCTCAAATACTTTTTGCATTACAACAGGGATAGCCTGAAACAATATACAGGTAATGGTAGCTAGGAAAAGGCATTTATTTTCTGTGGGCATTGCATAGGGTACAGAGAAGCCTGGGCATGGTGGCTAACGTCATAATGCATGCTCATCATAAATTCCTGGGACTTTGACCCTATGAGTCCTGACTCCTCTATACCGTTATCCATAAGGGAAATATCACTCTATTGGGTGTTTTCAAGTTGCCATTAGCTCCCTCATTCTTTTGTCATATCCAGACTAGTACTGGAAGCCATTACTACCAAGTGAAATATGATGACAAAGACCTGAAAAACACAGATATATTATAAAAGAAATAGCACAAGGATAGATGGCAATATTGTCATGTGAGGCTTTCAGAAGTTACAGTGCCAGTAAAAAAGCATTGGCCAGAATCAAATTGACTATTTACTGCATAGTAAGCATAATAGCATAACTCAGAGCAGTGAATAGCTGTCCATTAAAAAGCTCCAGATTTAATTTCTGGTTGCATACAGAGATGAGACTGGAATCAATTTGAGTCCCTTCATCTGAATATCAACAGATGCCAGCATGGCTGGTCCACTTACCTTTCATTGCATGCTGCTCAAGTCCTTCTACTCTGGCAGTGTGCCAATCTGGGTGGGAGCTCAGCGGGCCCCTGCAACTAACCACTCTGACAAGGAGGCGGGATTCTTCCTGCACAGGTGACAAAAGGCTGGCTGCAGGGGTGGGGTGGGGAATGGGCCAGCTGAGCTCCTGCCCAGATTGGCATGCTGCTAGAGTGGAAGGACCCCAGCGATGCACAATGAAAGGTAAGTGGACCAGCTGGTCCGTGGGAAAGGACAAGGACAATAGCTGGACTGCCATACAGAGATATTCGGATGAAGGGACCCAAATTGATTCAGGTCCCATCTCTATTGAATACCAATCATGTGACTTGGCACATACTAGAAACTCAATCAAGAATTTGTTGACTAACAGCTATTCACTGCTCCAAGTTACATCATTTATGCTGGTATAAATATTCAGTTGGATTATGGCCACTGAAATAGATCAGCTCCTGAAATGAGCATACTTTGTACATGGCAGCTATTCTACCAAGTTAGTGATTGTGTATGTTCAGTTCTGGCGGATTGTCTTTCCATCACATTTAATTGTATGGGACTAATTTCTAAGTAAACATAAGTAAGACTGAATTTAAAGTTGAAAATTTACAGAACTATCTAGAGCTCAAACTAGGGAAATGGTTTCTGCACTGTTTTCTACCTATCTGGATCACTTTGCACTCTACCTTCATGGTACGATTATTCTTCTAAAAGAACCTATAAAAACTGCCTTGAATTTCACACTGCTCAGGGAAGTGGATTGTTTAATAATATCCATTTTCTGGTATCCTGTTTTTGAAATGAAATATCAGTTTAGCTGTTTCACAGATGATGGTTTCTGGATGTTTGTGCAGTCCTTAGAGAGATGTTAAGTATGTTAAAAGCTGATATTCTTGAAAATAAATTTCTCTTCAATGTTAGGCTGGTGGGCATTCTGTGAAAAATTGAAATAGGTATGTCTTGATTTCTTTCAGGTTAAATGGAGTGAAGATTTGGACTGATTTCCCAGCAGCCAGAAGCTTCTTCATTAAACTTAATTTGTCCAACTTCTTTGCCACAGTGATTCTCATTTATGCATCTCTTGTGGCAGGGAAAACACCAACAATTGCCAACCTTCAAACTAATGAAGTAATAGGTATTTTAAACTTATACCAGCAGTAGACAATTTTGGGCTGGGTGGGCTATATTGCAGTCTCACATTCCCCTAAACCTAACGGAAGTATATCTGCCTGTAGTCAATACCCATCACTGCCAAAATCCCAATGATTCTGGGGAGAAAAAGAGAGACTTGCATGGAGTGTATACCTACCAGAATTGCATTTGTAATCACGCACCAAGAAAGTAGTTGTGTTGGAAAACAAGGTCCATGTTCCCTATTTGCCATGTTTTCCTGCAGAATAACTGGGATGTTGAAGAAACTCTAGCAACAGGGGAATGCAGGGAATACAGAAATGGTCTAGCATGCAGCTCACCTGTTGCCACCCATCAGTATTATATGCCTTTTTCAGATTTCACACCAACCTCAATGAAAGTGGAGTGCAATCAGATGGGCATTTGTCACACAGTTTGGTCTGGATTAAGGACAGATTGGTTCCTTATCCTGGTGCCATTTTTAGCCAGCCCATCTTTCACCAATGCCTACCCACACCTTTATGGGTGTATTGCTATTTACTAACACTTGGATATACTACTTTCTGCACACTGGAGGAGATGATATTCTTCCCTGGACAAGTGGAAACATGTCTGTTTTGAAGAAGAGCCAAATGGAGAGGAGGGGTGTGTGTGCATGCATGCCTTGTGTGCCCCTTTGTTTGAAGAACTGGAGTGTGAAATCCAACTCACAGCTGCCTCAGCAATAACTTTAAAACAACAACCTTACTGCTTACTGCTTCATCTAAGACAGGTGTGCCTGGTTAAATTCATCTTGCCAAGAACATTACATCTAAGAGTAACATCCTGGCAAATCCCATCTTGCAATGAATGTTTGGATTTTTGGTACTTACTTGCTTTGAAGAAGTGGGATTTAACCACAAAATCTTGCACAGTGTATGATTTTTTTAAATTTCTTTTTAGTGGTCTATAAATGTATCACCTCTTCTTGCATTTGCCCCAGGAAAGTCATCCCTTCCTACTTAGATTGCTATACTGCTTCCCCATCACCCATATGGACCCTGAGTGGGGTCTTTAAATGGACCGTACACTTCTGTCAGGCTGCATCAATGTGGTGGACAAAATATATTCCAGGGAACTTTGTCTGACATTACTATTTCCTCACAAAGGAAGACTGTCAGGCAGTCTAACTTCCTGGGGAAATGTGCAGATGTACGTGTGTATGTGTGCGTGCATGCCTGCGTACATGTGTGTGTGTGTGTGTGTACATGTGTTGTGTGTGTGTGTGTGTGTGTGTGTGTGTGTGTGTGTGTGTGTGTGTGTGTGTGTGTGTGTGTGTAAAATGGCAACCTCTCCCCCTACAACATGAGTCCTGCCGTTTCAACAAAATTTTCCATTAGTTTTGTAAAACTCTGTTGATTCTTTTTCTAACGCAGGGACTACTCTTATTTTTTTAAAATAAAGCAATGAGATAAAAGGAACAGGCAGAAACATTTGTTCACCTGCAGCACAGCAAACCTTCACACCCATCGCCAGGAGGAGACAAGATGGGGGAAGTGAAATGTAGTGGCAGTATTTATTAACAGATTGTATGGATAAGTCCTTTCTCAGTTTGCCCAGCTCTTTCCCACACATACTGCTTAATCCTTAAATATTTAGGAATCTTTTTTTGCAATTCATTGGGCTGTGCATGTCTTTTGAATCTCTTTTTCCAAAAGTCTTGGCTCATAGCCTCCCAGTGGCGTGCTAATCTGAGCCATATACACTTCTTGTCAATTGCCAAGCTTGTTTTTTCCAGTTAATTCGACATTGTCTCATTGTAGCACTAGAGACATTTCCTTGAGGGTTTTTTCAAGTCTTGACAGAGATTTCTTGGAAGAGAGTCAGCCAGGGCTGGGAATATTATCTATACTACATTTACAGCTTAATAGTTATGCACTTCAGATGTGTGTGTATGTGTTAGATTGCAGTGATTCTTTCCTGATTTTTAGGAGAAATATTTATAGACAAAACTTAACTAACTTTGTTTTGCCTTTTGTCACAATTTTAGAAACATGAAGAAAAAGAATATGGACAGTTTTTTGTCACACTAGCATGTAACCAGAAGTTTGACAGCATTTCCAAACATCAATTTCTCTAAAGCTAGAAGCTAAATTTAGAAAGTTACCTCTTTCTTATAAAGAAATAATTATCATTACTTATAACTTGTTTCTGCTATTTGTTCCAGGTTTTTAAGTAGCTCATTAAATTGTCAGTTACATTACTTGTTACTCATTACTTTTTAGTTCCTTTAAAAATGAAATGGTGTTTTTATCCACAAAGCTCATGTATTGCACGATTATTTTTAGTGGTCTATAAAGGTATCGCCTATTCTTCCACTTGCATTTTACTTTAACATGATCTAAAAAAATTGGGGGGGGGATCTTCATATGTCACCCAAGGCACTTCTACCTTCCAGAAATAATTAGTAAATATGGCCTTTTACACTTCCCAATTTAGAATTGTTACCAGTAATTTCAATTTTTGTTGTTGTTGCTAAAGTAACAATTATGTCCTTTTTACCCCTCAAAAAAGTTACAAATTATAGTCAATCAATAGTTTATTTACAGTCCTTAGACCAGTCACATAAGTATAAAACCTTATAAAACCTTAAAATTTCTAACTTTCAGTATTCCATTAGAACATGTTGGCATACATACAACTGGGAACGGCAATCTAATTGGTATTTAACTTCCGCAATCGAAGTATTGCTACACAGAGCCACGCAAGCCGACAGGTGATCTGGATATCAACATCCAAGAGAAGGAACTCAAGCCTTTTTCCCTCCGAACGTCCTGGCAATCTATCTATTAAGGGGGTTATAGTCTCTTTTTGCACTGCTTCATACAATGGGCAGGTGAAGAATATGTGCTGTATGGTCTCAATCTCCCTCAGGTGGCAGGAGCATAACCTTTCAGCAAAAGGGGTATTTTTATACTTCCCTTCTAGTACAGCAGAGGGGAGGGCCAAACACCTTGCCAGAGTAAAGGCTCTTCTAATTCCTTTAATTTCCAAAGATGTTAAGTATTTGGCCGGTACCATACAATTTTTGATGTATGTCCTTGCTGCCATATTTTGGATGCTAGAAAGGTCTGTTTGATATTCATTGTCCTCTATTCTTTGTTTAACTATTTGTTTTGCCTGCTCTATTCCAGAGGATATAAGTGCCTGAGGTGAGAGGCCAATTTTCCCCAAGTAGCCCTGGACCGATTTAACCCACTTAGATTGATAGTTATCTTTAAATAATAAGGAAAATAGGCCTTCTGGATTTAACTGTCCCTTTAGCCACATATATATAGATTGAATTCTAATCCAGGCTTCTACTTTAAGGCATCCTGTTTCTAGCCTTATCCTTGCATTTGACACGCATCTTGGGACCTGGAGTATAGTTCTTAAGAATTTGGATTGGACTATTTCTTGTGGTGCGAAGTGAGAACTGGGTGGCCCCATGAATGAGCCGTACAGCAGCTGGGCTAATGCCTTTGCTCTATACAATTTGAGGGCTGCCGGTATGAAGGACCCTCCTTGGGAGAGATGGAATTTTACTATACTATTTGCCGATCTTTCTCCCTGATCAGCCACAAATTTACTATGCTGAAGCCTAGATCCTGAGGCCTGTAATACTACCCCCAGATATTTGAAGCTGTTCACCTGCTCGATACTGTGTCCATTTATTTGCCATGACCTACTCTTGGGTCTCTGTCCAAAGGCGACTATCTTGGCCTTCTGATAGTTAATCGTTAATGATTTATATTCACAGTATGAGGCAAGCTTCTTAAGTGCCCTCCTCAGCCCTATGGGGGTTCTGGATAGAATTACTGTATCATCAGCATAGAGTAAGGCTGGCACTGTTCTATCTGTAAGTTTAGGTGAATGGAGATCGGCGGTGTTAAGCCAGCTTGATAAGTCGTTTATGTAAAATATGAATAATGCTGGTGCCAGCAGGCAGCCTTGCCTAACACCTCTGTGCGTTTGCACAGATTCCGTGAGGTGTCCCTGTCTGCTGCACCTGACTCTCAGGTATGTTTCTTCATGTAGGGCCCTGATTAGATATAGAAGTCTTTTGTCTATAGATGAGTTTGATAGATTGTCCCAGAGGTGTGTTCTCGATATAGAATCGAATGCTGATTTAAAGTCCACAAAGGCAGCATAGAGTGATGTTACTCCTTTGGCTGAGTATTTCTCTATAAGATGCTGTATAATTAGGCATTGTTCTATTGTGGATCTCCCTGGCTGAAAGCCTGCTTGTTCTGCCCCAATGATATTTTCTACTTCGAGCCACTCCAGGAGTTTGTCTAGGAGGTGCCTTGCATATAGTTTGCTTATAATATTCAGCAAACTTATTGGCCTGTAGTTGGCTGGATCCTCCCTTTTCCCTTTCTTATAAAATGGGACCACTGTGGCCGTTTTCCATGATATCGGGATTTGGCCTGTGTCATTAATATGGGTGAAGAGAGGTGCTAGAAAAGAGCCCCACCATGTCTTGTTTTCTTTTAGGAGTTCTGGTGGGATGCCATCAAGGCCTGGGGCTTTTCCATTTTTTAACTGATCTATATGAGCTATTATTTCGCCTGGGGTCACCGGGGGCCATTTGAGAGTGCTTCCAAGGATTCCTGGAGAAGGGGGTACAATGACATCCTCATACATACTTGTAAAGTGGGATACCCATTTATCTGGTGGAATACAAGAGGATAATGGGTGTTTGGGCTCTGATAGTCTGCCTGAGATTAGTTTCCAGAAAAGGGATGGATTTTTGGCTTTTGCTGCTTCAATCACCTTCCTCCATAGTTCTCTCGTGTGTTCTCTTTTACTGTGATGTATCTGCTGTTTGTATTCTTTCTTATGTACCAGTAGTTTTAGGAGGACCT